CTTCAACTTTGTATCAAACCTCCTGATGTTAAACAGGCTTCCTCTTGAACGATAGCGAATGTAAATACCAAGATTACAGTTCTTAAAGTCCTGTTAAAAAAGATAGAGAAGTACAGGGCAAATAGGTTTGGAGCTTATATATATATATATATATATATATATATATATATATATATATATTATATATATATATATTCAGAGAATTTGAACATTTAATACCCTTCGAAATATATATATATGTGTGTGTGTGTGTGTGTGTGTGTGTGTGTGTGTGTGTGTGTGTGTGTGTGTGTGTGTGTGTCTGTGTGTCTGTGTGTGTGTGTTTCTTTCTGTCTTTCTGTCTTGTGCACTGGCGTGAGAGACTGGATGGAATTCTGAAACAGTAGGACAAGAATGAATCCATATATTCAAATGATGTTATATTATTTTACCAATGGACATTTTATTTCTCCATATGTTCGCCAGTGCTGTGTCAATTCTGTAGGGTATATTCTGGATTAGCTACACAAACTTGAATAGGCGAAATTAAACCGGCGAAATCAGTGTTTATCACGTCATCTCTGGATGCCATGTTGTACCGTGTTGTCTTTTTGCCATATTATTTTCAGTTTCGAAGAGTTTCAGAAAGTAAATCAAAAAAACATCATCTTTTACACGTTAATCGGATTAGAATTCTTTTTATGACTATACTGCTGATTAAAGCAATGAGGAAAAAAGAGAAATATAGAAAATAGTAAACGTGTGCGTCTTTCAAGCGAACATAGTTTGGTCTCTTATCTGGTGCCAAATTCAGAGAATTTGAACATTTAATACCCTTCGAAATTCGTTGATTAGTTTTCTCATTGTTCAGCTTCTGTGACAATATTTTTGTTCATTTGTTTCTTTCCACCGGTCGTGACGGATTAATAAAATTTGGAAAGGCTTTTAAATTTATGGGTGTCTAATTATCTCCTTATAAAAATAAAATCTACATGTTTTTAATCTAAGATTATAAAATGCATTTTTATATTCAACGTTTCATTTAGAAAATTCTTGTTTCTTTTCTTTTTATTTGGGAGAATTTTTATCCGTTCATTTCCTTACGATAATACTGTTATTTTTTTTCTAAAATACAATGCGCTATTAAACGCCCTTGAGGATCTGGCCGTTAGAAAACCGATTTGGTAATCGAAATTCGCTTCGTTTAGCTATTAACATATAATTAATATATAACATCTTGGAGAATGTATTCGGATTGAATTACTTAGATTAATTTGTTATTATTATTATTTCGTATGGTATCATCTTATCAGAGTGTAATTTTAAGTGCCAAGACCCGTCCGGTGTCTATGAGTAAAAAAGCCACGACAAGAATGTTTTCTATGCACATTTAGGGGATTTTGTTTTGATGAAGAGGTTTTTGTAGATGATATAGACTAATAAGTAATTTTGCAGCTCTGTTTTGTTGACGTTTTCGGGTATTTTTCTGACATGATTTTCGCTACACTTCTTTATCATACCCAATGTCCCTATCAAAACAGGGATAATCGCAATTTTAATTTTCCACACTTTAGTCACTTCGATTTGCAGGTCATTGTAATTTGACAGTTTTTGAAATTCTTTCTTTCGAAACAATGGAATCCCGTGGACAAGACATATCAGTCAGTTGACATGTTCTTTTTTGGAAATCTTTTATGACTATAGCATTATTATTATTATTATTATTATCATTATTATTATATCCTCTTCGACACTTAGATTTTCGGCTTGGTGATGATGATCGTATCTCACCTCCTACCCGCATTCAGAATACAATACATTCCTCAATATATAAGTTATTTCCAAGGCGTGTTACCACCTGTGCATTCCCAATGATGTCAGGTATCTCCAAAGACGCCCTGCGAGGTAGAAAGATTCCTGGAAATAGTTCCGAGTGCATCAACCAAATAATGCACAACTTGAGTTAGAGCTTGATATATTTATCTGATTAGCCCTGCTAGATCTTCATACCTGTTTATTTTCACTTGCTCACGATCTCCTTCTTCTTCTTCTTATTATTATTATTATTATTCTTATTTTATTTCCTTTGATTTCTGATGTGTACACATTTCTTTCCGCCCAGAGACCTAAGGTCAGTAAGGGCATCATTATTTTTTCCACTGACCAATTAAAAAAATCTAAAAACAAAACAAAAATCAAAATAAAACCACATATTTTACATATATAAAGCCCTTCGTGAAGTGTGATCTATACTTTTGAGTATAATTTTTTGTATTTCTTTAAGGCATGGGCTACCAGGAATCCCTTCAATGTGTCTACTGGAATCTTTTCCAATCAATTCGTGGGCTCCAACTACAACAGGAATTGTTGATGTTCTCATGTGCCACATTTTTTTAGATTTCGTTTTCATGTCCTTGAATTTTAATAGTTTTGGAAGATTCTTCAAAGATACATTGCAGTCCGCAGGGACTGCCATATCAATAAGCATGCACCTTTTTGGGGCTTTGATCACGGATATCTGCGCGATTAGCTTTGACTATCCTGTCTGTGCGTATTATTATTATTATTATTATTATTATTATTATTATCTGTGTATCAATATAGACATTTTAAGGATCCAAAAATTCCACTACTTGATTATTCCATAAGGTTGTAGTGTGCAAGAGCGTTGGTTAAGTATATCTAGCATAATGGCAATGATTTCAATACGTGAACTAAGTAGAGTGGTGATATTTTATTGAAAGCAAAGGCAAAAGCGGCATCACAGTTACAATTTCACGTGGATGAAACATTTAATATGAGATTTCCCCTTGCATGAATAAGGAAATGATAAAATCTACTCCGATGAATTGAATAAAAGCTTCACTTTGAAACATTCAGAATATTACCGAATACGACTCGTCCCTGAAGCATAATGTGAGTTTAACCACGTGAATTGAAGAAAATTTACTTTTACAGGAGTTTACTGAATACGCCAGTCACTCGAAGAAGAGCCCAGCGACCGAAACGTCTTCAAAATGACAAGTAAAATGAAAAGGTTTTCAATAAATTGTGAGATTACCACTAACATTACCTGCCAAAATCTAACGTCAGCTAAATGGCGTTACAAAAAAAAAAAAATGAAAAAAAAAGGCAGACAAGATGTATATTCTTACCCCTTCTTTGTCTACTGGATTCAGTAGGTGCAAAACGTATCTTATCCGCCCCCCCCCACGATTCGCATGTTGCATGATACACAATGCAACATACAAATACCTCTAGATTATAAACTACCAAACTAACAAAAAATCAAAAAAAGGATTTCTTGATATACACACTTCTATTCAATTAGTCGTAATTTAATTCCAACATTAAACCTGTCACGAACGAAAAATCGAAGCACCTCAAAATATGGTAATGTTTCTACCAAACTGATGACTTTTACACTATAATAGAAACCTATATCCACTTCTCACTAAGTTCTGTCCCAAGATATTTTAACCAATAATGTGATTGTGACAAAAAAAAAAAAAAAAAAAATGCAGTATAAGAGAAAATGGAGTTCACTTCTCTTTTACCTTCTCTTTATCTACAGGATGCCGTTCATAAAAGCCATGTCAACTTTTTAGTCCACAGCGAACCGCCTGTCGAATTGAAAACGTAAAATACACATGTGCTTAGTAGATAACACTGTAAAATCAACGAGGAAATATTCTGCAGTGTAAGTAACGCCATGTTAAATCGGTCTTTGCACCATGTACGTACGGCTAAGGACTTCTCACTATATATTTAATTCTTATTTCTTCCTTCCTATCCCGATTACCACCGAATATCTCCCAGCAGATTATTCTACTATAAGACTAGTATATAATACAGTAGAAAATTTTCTAATTAATCACAATTGTTGAGAAAGTATCGTTTCATCATAGCTACTACATTTTCTTTACTATTGTTCAGTTAGTAAAAGGATTGTTTGAATTGTTTTACGGCATATCAACCTCAATCCGTCATTTAATGCCGACAAGATTTTTTTGCTGGTAATATATATTTATATATTTTTTTCAAAAATGTATTGCTGGTAATATTCTTTTTCAAAGATGTTTTGCTGGTTATATATATATATATATATATATATATATATATATATATATATATTACAAAAAAATATATCGCTGGTATCTAAACCTAATTTTACACTTCCATAGTGTTTTGACGCCAGTTTGGGGTTAACTATTTACCCCTTATATTTGCTACCATCCCGGGTTAGGGTGAACCTGCGAACACCAGCATTTAAGAGCTGAATCCACGCTCCTCAAAACTTCCTGTTCAGAGGCCTTGCTGTTGGACGTAGTTTATCATTTTATCCAGGACGTGGATGTAGTTTGTCGTCATACCCAGGACCGCCAATCCATTGTTAAATTCACCACCCGCACATACAAGTGGTCACCCATTTTGATACTGGCCATGTTTGACGTTGCTTTTATGAACACCAGTTTTTCATTTTGATATGGAGGCATGTTTAATAATCTTGGATGCATTCTCTCGGGTATCTGTTTCACAGAGTAACGATTCTAGAGAAAGAAGCTGTCTGGGCGGAACTTACTTCTTGACAATGGAGAACGAAGAAAATGAGGATGATGCAATCATGTGTAGGCGGCATAGCAAGCCCGAATTTATGAACAAGTTAACGAATGTAGATCATATGATATAAAAATAGCCGTGGAGTTGCGAGAGGCTAACAACATTTCTTCCGTGTTGTTAGTAGAAAATAATTCATCACACACAAAGATGCGTAAGTGCTTTTGAACAAATTTGGATAATGAGCATATGAGCAGACCCAGCCCTGACATGGCCACAATAGTCTGTTTTTGGCTTGATCTGTCTCTTTTATTAATGCAGCATGCCATCATTCATTTATTTTTACGGTTTATCACTATTTTTCAGGTTATATAAAGACAGAAAATATTTTAGATTGTATGAAATTTTTCGAGATAGTAATGATTTAGTCCTACTAATTAATCCATATCTGAGGGGAGATAAAGATTACAGCATCTGATATTCCCAAGCTTTCACACATCTAAACACTGAACAGGCTCAACGTTGCTTAACTTTGGTTATCGTACGAGTACCAGTGTGTCAAGGTGATATGGCTGTAAGCCGTACATGGCAAAAAGAGTCAGGTATTTTCCGGTGCAGTACCAGGGACCGGCCATTTTCCCAACATCTTTAGCGATAATTTGTATGTAAGAGATTCAGAGGGGCCCAGAATTTGCTTGAATCTCAAAAGAGGACTAGGACAAGGAATACAAAAATGTATCAACATTTACCAAACCTTTAACATATTTTGTTTGGAGTCTGTCTATATTTCTGAGATGAGGTATTATGTACAGTATTTACATTAGTCGGACTATTGTCCACATCTTTGTCGCCATATTTGTCGCCATATTTGTCACAACGTTTCGGCCGTTGTACGCTCCGGCAATGTTCAGGTGGTTGGAATTTCGAACTGAACCCTTTGGATGTCTGTTATCAGTTATCTTCTGCTAATTTTTCCCTCTGAAAGTTCTCCACTGCCTTAACCGGGTATTGAACTCACACTCTTTGGGTCTGTCACTGGATCTAACCAACGCCTTTATCCACTGTGCCATGTGTCCTTGATAACTGATAACTGACATCCATTAAACATGGCACGTGAAACTAGAACAGTCTACCCAAATGATCGAAAATAAAAGGTTCAGTTCGAAATTCCAACCACCTGAACATTGCCGGAGCGTACAACGGCTGAAACGTTGTGACAAATATGGCGACAAATATGGTGACAAAGATGAGGACAATAGTCCGACTAATGTAAATACTGTATATTTTGTTACTTATTCGTTTATATAATGTCAATTTTCGTATGGGGCTCACAGTGAAGAATGACCTGCATTCCCTGTCGTTCAACCTGATTTAAACGTTAACAATAAGCCAACGCCGAGGCACATGTTTTATGAAACAGCACAAGTAATATTAGTTAGATATTTTATGTCAGGCCATTGAACGAGAGTTACTGGAACCATAAAAATCAGTGCTACCCGCCGCATGATGTTATCATCTGCGACTAAAACCAGTTGCCTCATCTGGCTTTTTTGTGTATAGATAACCAGCAGAATAAAAAAGAAGACATGTCAAAAAGCAGATAAGCATTCTTCTAGGGTCAACGGCCATCTAGCACAATGGTCTAGAGTGGGCTCCATATATACGTATCCAGCCATCGAGGGGATGAAAGGGCGTAGTTTGCCTTCCAAAACTGAAGTCAACAGAGGTTTCCCCCGATGGAATCAACGGCAGGAAGTCCGTAACAAAAACAATAGTTCAAATATATAGTAAAGCTACATCATGGCGGTGGGAATGTCCTTGAAGCAGAGATGCTCGGCATTAAATAACACATTGAGGTACTTATATGCCGTAAAATAAAATAAAAACAAACCAAATAACGGTACGGAATTGGAAATCGGAGTTCTACAATTCCAGCTGGGTTCGTTACGCGCAACTACCCTTGGGAAAAGTATGAATCCATCGCCTCCCCCAGGTATGGGTTAATTAGTAGCACATGGATAAGTAAATAATTTTAATATCTAAAAAACACTCTTATAACCTAACGTTATTTTATGGCTTTAAATAACCTGCAAAATGTTGACTAGCCATGAAAAATAAATCAATTAAAATCCAGTTCACGACGACATTAATCTCTTCAGATCTCGCTCCCGCCATTATTTATTCTACATATTATGAGCTTCTTCCTCTATTTACGCTCTTACATCAACTTCATGAGCTGCTTCCTTCTTGCTCATATGTTTTATTTCCTTTTTCTAGCACGCGTATTATGTTGCGTATACGAAGAATGATTATGCCGAGTTAAGGTGTCGAATAAAGACAACATTATTTTATTTCTAGATTCTAGATTTTACGGATATAGGACACTGAAGGTAAATCCTAAAGACCGTCCGAACGGCTGTTTCTAGGTTGGTTAGTTAAAAAAAAAAAAAGATAACTTGAATTGGCATTTGTTTGACGATTATCAATTCTTTTGAAAGTCTGCTATCAAAATTAAAAGAAGAATTGTTATATCAAGAGAATATCATTCAAATGTATCGATTGTCGATCTCGTATGAACACTAGAGAATCTTCGACCAGGACGAAAACTATACGACTTATAGAGTAGTGAGTTTGTTTAGCACTTGTTATTTCAATAGTGATAAAAGAGGGGTGAAGGGGAGAGAGAGAGAGAGAGAGAGAGGTAAAGAGAAACATAGAAGAATAGAAGAAATAGAGTCAATATAAAAAGAAAAAAAAACAGAGACAAAGGACGAACTATATTGATATAGGATAAGAGAGGTAAAAATTGAGGAAAGTGAGAGGGAGGAATGAAGAAACATCGAGAAAAGAGGGCGTGATAGGCAAAGAAAGGCATAGGAGATAGACACCGAGAAAAAGAGGGAACGAGATTGTTATGAAGAAAAAAGAGAGAAAAAGAGATATATTGAGAAAAGAGAGATAGGGGTAAAGAAAGACAATGAAAAGAGAGAGAGAGAGAGAGAGTAAGATAAAAAGCGAAACAGACAAAAAAGAGAGTAAGATAGGCAAAGACAGACATAGGGAAAAGTGGGGTACCTCGGTGGGGTGTGATGGTTAGCAAGCTTGTCTCGCTAGATCAGTTACGAATGAAAAGTGAGTTCGATCCTCACTAGGTGCCTCATACTTTCGGCCTTGTGCCACATCTAAGTTAAACTTAGAAAATAACCATGAATAAAAGACGGAGCAAAACAAATATACAGAAAGAGAGAAAAAGGCAAAGACTGGTATTAAATTAAAGAGGGAGGGGAAGATCAGCAAAAACATGGATAGAAGAAAAGAGAAGTAAATATAATATGATAGAGAGTGAGAAGAGCAAAGACACACACACATATATATATATATATATATATATATATATATATATATATATATATATATATATAGCGAGAGAGAGAGGGAGATAGAAAATTAAATATAATGCAATAGAGAGTAGGTGGAGCACAGACACACACATATATAGTTTTGGAAAGACACACATTAAGAGAAAGAGTGACAATGACAGACACTAAAAATAGAGAGAGAGGAATGATCACAGGTAGTGAAAAAAAAAAAGAGAAGACATGCAAACAGATATAGGGTTAAAGAGAGAGAGAAAAAAACCGATATAGAGAATGAGAGAGAGGGGAAAAGAGTGATACTGAAAAAAAGAAAACGTGAAGTAAATACACGCATGGAGACAAAGAGAAAGATGAAGCGACAACGATAAACAATAAAAAAACAAGTGGAAGGATGAGGGGGAAAAGGCAGATATTGAGATAAAAATGAGAGACGCAAAGATGTATACAGAGAGGGAGAGAAAGACTGACTAAAGAGAGAGAGGGGGGGATACATATACAGACATGAAAAGAAACACAGAGACAAATATTAAGAGAAAGAGAGAAGAATGTAGATATAGAGGAAGAGAGAGATCGGCAAAATCAGGTATAGAAAAAAGAGAGGATAAAATATATATTGAGGAAAGTAGAGAGAGAGACAGACAGACAGACAGACAAAGATAGATAAATAAAGAGAGACATTGCTAGAAAGACTGGAAAAGACAGATATAGAAAGGAAAAAAAGAGGGAAGCAAAAAGATATAGACAAAAAGAGAAGAATAAGGCAATAAGGAAAAGACAGAGAGAGAGAGATAGAGAGAGAGAGATAGATGGAAAGAGTGAGACGAAGGCAAACAATGCTCAATAGAGAGAGATTGGAAAAGACAAAGATACTGAAAAAGAAAGAGGGGAGCATAGACAGGTATAGAGAAAAAGAGGGAATAAAAAAGACAGTGAGGAAAAGCGATCGACAGGGAGAGAGAAAGGTAAAGAGAGAGAGAGAGACAAAGAGAAACATTGGTAAAAAAGAGAGAATTAAAATTCAAAGAAAGACAAAGATAGATATAGAGAAACAGAGAGTATAATACAGACAGCGAAGAAGAGAGAGAGAGAAGAAGAGATAAAGACTGATAAAGAGAGAGAATGGAAAAGAAGAAGAGGGAGGCAAAGACAGATATAGAGAGAAAAGAAAGTGGAAAAGAGAGGGAAAGTGAGAGAGAGAGAGAGAGAGAGAGAGGTAAAGACAGACATTGCTAAAAAAGAGAGAATGGAAAAGACAAAGAGTGATAAGCACAGATATGGAGAAAAGGAGAGAATAACACAGACAGTGAGGAAAAGGGAGCTAGAGGGATTGAGAAAGGAGAAGCGAGAGTGATAAAAACGGACATTGCTAAAAAGATAGAGAATAGAAGAGAAAAAGAGAGAGGCAAAAGGGGAGAAAAAAAGACAGTGAGGAAAAAAGGGGGAAGAAGGGAGAGACAAAGTCAGACATTGCTAAAAAGATAGAGAATGGAAAAGAAAAAAAAAGATGGAGGCAAAGACAGATATAGAGAAAAGCAGAGGATAAAATAAAAACACTGAACAAAATGAAGAGAGAGGAAGTGAGCGATAAAGACAGCTATTGCTAAAGAAAGAGAGAATGGAAAAAAACAAAGAGGGAGGCAAAGATAGATATAGAGAAAAAGAGAGCATAAAATAGACAGTGAGAAAATAGAGCAAGAAGATGAGAGAAAGAGAGAGAGAGAGAAGAAACTGCAAATAAGAATGAGTATGGAAAAGACAAAGAGGGAAGTAATGGCAGACATAGAGAGAAAAAAAGAATGAGTGAAATGAAAAAGAGACAGTGAAAGAGAAAAAAGGGATGGAGCGAAAAGGAGGTAGTGAGAGAAAGAAAGATTGCGAGAGGGTGTGGCAAAGACAGACGGGGTGAATTAGAAAAGAAGCAACGACATTGGGAAAGAGATAGAAAGAAAGGAAAAGGCGAAATAAGAAAAATAAATAACAGGCATTTATGTAGAACAGAATATATTCTCGAACATAGAATATATTTTCCATGAGAACAACATTGACGTAATCTCAAACGCGATATCTGGCAGTATAGACATAGCCCCAATTAACCAATTATTGATTAACTATTTGCTACATTGATAAATAAACCAACTGAGAAAGTTAAAACATTAAACATATTTAGTATCAGGAAGCATCGGTTTGAAAATGATAGACCACGAGAAAAAAAGTTCAAAGAAAATTCCAAATTTATATTAAAATCTTATCTCTGCCTGTCTCGGAATTTCAGGGTAAAATTTAATGTCCTTTCATCGCCACTAAAGAAAAAAAAAATTATATTCAAATAGGATTCAAATTTGTTTTTTGAAAAAAAATATATTGGTAAAATCAAGAATTTGAATTTTTCGTTTTATTTATAGATTTATAAATTTCTTCCATAAATTATTCCAACTCGTATTAGAATGGCTTTCTTGTCGATTATTCACTTCTAAAATCATTAACGTTGAGAAATAACTAAATAAAAAGGACAGTATTGAAAAGCAAGATGTAAATTTTCACTTCTGTCAGAAAAGCCATTGAAAAAGCAAATGTCGAGGTAATTTGTAAAGTTAAAATACTAAAATAAAAAAATTAAAAAAAGGAAAAGAAAATTAAACTAATAATATTTTTGAAATCAGTATAACTTGTTGAAATGGTGACATGATTTGCAATTTCCTTCGTGGGATGAATTAATTATGAAACCTTTCGATCGCATTCGGCCAATACATTAAGTTAGATCAAAACTACACATGACAAACCTATCGAAAGATGCAATAATTAGACATGTTGATTAATAATGAATAACACTGAAAGAAAAAGCTTAGTAAAGAGATTAAAATAATTGCAGTGACTAGAATCGTGAAGATAAAGATAACGTACAAGAAACGATGATGAGGAAATATGTTCCTTACGTCTCTTAAAATTGTTATATAATTTTCAAATCAATCGTAATTTTAAAATCATTTCACTTCAAGCAAGGCAGTAAAGCCACTAAGACGCAAAGATTACTGAGTGTGAAAGATTAAGAAAAAAAGAGAAAAAAATATTAAACAGCAAGAATAATGAAATAAGAAATCAAGAAAACGGTAGATAACGGTTGGTACTGCATTTAAATCTTTAAAGTTGGCTAGAAAGCAAGACGCTGGAAAAGAGTTCTATAGACGATACGTGCAAGAAAATAAACTAAATAATTTGGGGTTACAGCTAGCCAATTCAACTGTACATTTATAAGCCATTTTGCCAACTAGTAATGCGCTTAAATTCAAAGAAATCTAGGTATCATAGAGAAAGTGATATTTTGTTTGAAAAATATGAAAGTTTGGCACAAGGCCAAAAGTTGGGAGTAGGGGTAGGGTGATCTTCAGTCTGTCTCATCTTAAACCTAGCTAGGGAGGATTACTGAACCAAACATACTACACTGTTGTTTACGCCCAAAAACATTTTTTACCATTCTTACTACAGCCATTATAATGTCTCAAAGTCTTTCTGAAGTCCTAACTAGTTGCTATATGTACAATTTGTCCGGTGGCTTAATAAAAATAACAACTTTTAAAAATGAAATCGCAGTGAATATTTACAATGATTTCCGTTTTATATATATACAACAGAGGAAAGTTCATTAGAACAATTTATATGAAAGTATTTAGAGAAAAGTTACGGTGAAACGTCTTGATAAAAAAGGAGACTTGAAGTGACAGACATATGAGTCTGTCAAAGAATGCTAAGAATACCCTAGATAGAATATGTGAGAAAAAAGAAGGATAACAATCTACCATCATAGATTAAATAAAGTGTTCATCTCGAAGTACCCTGAATGTCAGCCGATTGGAAAAACGGTCACCTTCATGTTGCATAGTTTCTTTAGTTCCCTTTGTGATGCCAACGAACATTCGTTGCCACTTTGGTGATGTCAACGAATATTCGTTGTCACTTTCGTAATGCTCATTGTAGTAGAGATTTTGTAATCGCAGATACAACTATAGTAACGCCGTTGAACAATACTGGTGTCAGACGCCTTCGAATAATCTCGCACTAATAGTACTTGCTTGATAATACGCACTCGAATAGTAACCACCGAACAGGGATCCAAATAGAGAAATAGTATAGTGAACAGAGTAGAGAATAGCGGCCCCTATAGTAATAGAGGATAGAGTAGAAATAACGATCACTTGGACGTCACGCGATTTCCTACTTTCTCGCGTTTCTCCTATGGTCACGTGGTCCACTTAATTCAATAATGGGATCGCCTGTGTTTCCTTACTGGCGATCTATGTTCAAACTCAAGTGTCGGCACCGACACTTTATTCCTATATAACAGTTCCCTAGAAAATTAGAGTGTACTCAACAAAGCAAAGTCCAATAATACCTGACATGTTATTTCGCTCTTCTTTGCTGATCTGGTTTTCTAGCCTCTTCGAGTGTCAAAATTCCAGAGAATTTTACGTGTTTTATTCTCCTGTTCTGGATATATACCATTACTTCATACGAACAAAACGCAGGCATTTTCACAGTTTCCAGTGAATCTCTCTACGTATGCAATTACACCGCTTTACGTACACTATTCCATCGCTGTTTCCATAGGAAATTTTCAAACGAGCCCCATTCTTTAGTGCTACCATCTAAGACCCGCCTTGTTACGTCCACAGGATCAAAACCCCTTCATGCCTTACGTATTTCTTTTGTAATTATCGTGTCCCACTCCGAAAGCTACTTTGCGTAACAGACTCCCAAACACTACAATGTTTCTCTCTTCAAGTCTATGGACAATCGTTATTTTCCACTATGTTCTCGCAATCTTCAGTTCCTACTTCCTCCTCTTATTTTCAGCAGTTGCTTTTACTGGCTGCTCTACCAGGGCGAACGAGAGAGACAGAAAGAGAAAGAGAGGGAGAGAGAGAGGAAGAGAGAGACCAGTTTAACTTAGGTGGGGAGGAACGGCAGTACTGCGGGCAATAATGCGGACCAGAATACAAATGACACTGGAATTTTAACTTGGCTCGCCGATTCTTTGTGTGCTGATATCCATTACTCTACCTGCTCATCCATCTACCTTTAACTCTTTATATACTTCGTCCTTATGGCGTTGTTCTCGACGGCTAGTATAAGCGACTCAACGCTTCTTTTTTTAGATTTACTATGTGTAACACGTCCCTATCGATTCATCTGAAATTCCGAGACGCTGTCTTCTGGAATGCTGACGGCATATACACAAAGTTGAAATTGGGATTTAAAAACTCAAACGATCACCAATCCAGACCAAGAGGCTAGACCCAATTCTTGTAAACACGGAGAGGATCATTTATCAGATAATCGATATCAGAGTTATCCTAGACCCAAAGAAAGACTAAAAGAAAGTGAAAAGCAGTAAAAACAAACAAAATGGTAGAACAAGAAAGTGACATGTGTACCTATCATTATTGATACTTCTGAACAACCTTGCAAAATGTTGAAATTGTGTACGTTGATAATAAAAACCTGGTTGGTCTCTTTGTTCTTTTAGGATCAGCTCACTGTAGAGGGGAAATAAATCCGACAAGCAGACACACACGCCTTTTTCTATTTTTCTGTATTTTTCAACTCGATTTTTTTTATATGTGTATGCGTTTATTTTAATTAGAGAATAAATGAAAGGAAGGTCAACTTCTTAGTTTTCTTAGATAGAACAGGCACCAAAATATTTAGTATTATATATCATCAATGAGAACCAAAATTAGAAATCTGAAGAAATATGTAAAGCTATCCGGACGTCAGTAGTAGTAATATCAGCGATATTTCTTTTTTTTTTTTTTAAATGTGTTAGGAAATTTAAACAATTTGCTATCATTTGATCTTCATTGAAAGCCACTTGTTACTACTGATGGATAAAATCAGTGAGTATAAATTGTAATAATAATAATAATAATAATAATAATAATAATACACAGTGGTAATATTAGGTAGCATATCTTATTTATGTCGTTACCCTCCCAAAAT